TGTGGTTTGAATGAAACAATGAACTCTGAAAAAACCTCTCTCCATTATCCTGTGGCTGGCTCTGCAGTAGGAAAGGTTCATTGAGACCCACAGCCACTGCTAGCTCATTGAGGTAAGCCAACTCTGAATGGTTCAGTATCCAAATTTTCCTTCAAGGAATATTGTATGATGAATCATGAGTTTGTGACATTGTGCATGGAAGACCTTCAGTAACATGGAGGCCTGAGACCCCAATTGGCTATGTTTATTGATTGCAACAACCAACAAGGACTTTGAATTGTAAGTTACTTGCTAAATTAGAAATGAATGGATGTACCTAAATATTTATTGCTGTTCTTATGCCAGTATCCATTCAATCGTTTGACAGGTGGCATCATGAGGTGGTCTTCCTCTCCTGTTGGTCAACCACTGGCAGTATCTCTGACAGCAGCCATTCGGTGGAGGAGGTGGCTGGAAAGGATATGGCAGTATGGGTTGGAATGCCGCATTTGATGGCAATTGCATCATTTGAATTTGTTGTTGTTGCTGTATAGAATCAAATTACCAACAAAGCATTTCTTGTTTGTGCACTGCAGGTGGTGGTGGCGGCGGCGGTGGAACCATTGCTGTTGCAGTCGGTGGAGGGGGTGGTGGATGGATTGCTGGTGGTTCTGTTGGAGGTGGTGGCTCAATTGCTGGTGACTCGGTGGTGCTCCAGTGCAAGCTGACACAAGACAACAATCATTGGGTGCATACTTCTGCCTTTGTGGTTTGAATGAAACAATGAACTCTGAAAAGAACCTCTCTCCATTATCCTGTGGCAATGGCTCTGCAGTAGGAAATGGTTCATTGAGACCCACAGCCACTGCTAGCTCATTGAGGTAAGCCAACTCTGAATGGTTCCAGTATGGAACAACCTTTCCCATCCTGCTGGAATTGACCTCCTCTCTCCCAGACTGATTCTTGACAGGAAGGCTTTCTTGTGTCTAATCTTGAGGTGTATCTTGCAGTTCCAGCCAGGTTGAGTGCATCAGCAAGAGACCTCTCATGCCACCATTACCGAATGAGCAAACTTGTCGTGGAATGCTTCTAACTTGGATTCTCCTCTCCTTGAAGAGTATCTGGGAGGTGTGCTTGGATTGGGTGATGGTAGGATAGTGTCATACATGTCTTCCAAAGGCAGTGGATCAGCCAAGTGAGCGGCTTTGTCAACACAGTTCTCTACTGCTGGCTTGGTATCAGAAGTGAATAAGGTAAAGTTCTTGACTGGATCCAGTCGACCCTGTCCTGGCTGGCTACCATCACTGGAGTCACCTTGTATCTGCAGAACCACTGTTGCAACTTCTGTCTCCTGGTCTCTGGTTCTCTCACTTCTTCCTTAGATACTTTGAGTACCTAGCTCTGAAGAACTTGGAGGCTTGCATATCGGAGATCTTTGCCATGGAGTAGTGCTTGCCATTGGTAGACAAGAGGCCATGTTTTAAGCATGGAGGACCTTCTCATAGTCATCTGGTGAGGACTCATAGAGGCATCCAAGAGTCTCCCATTGCTTGAAAGTAATCAATGTGACCCTTCCTCAAAGTTGACAGAATCCTTTTCTCATAATGGAAAAGGCCAAGTCTTCCCTCGATACTGGAAAGAGCAGCTCCCAATAGTCATCCTTGTGGGCCAGGTGTCGCTGTACATGGGAGCTGGATGAAGTTGCTCCTCCCTGCTAGCTGCATGGCAGCATGGGAGAAGTGGATTGTCTTGGTGGTGGAAACAGAACGCAGAGCAAACTCTCCGTTCAGTGCAACATCCCAAACAGCACAGACCAAGACTCTTGCTGTAGTTCTTGACAACTGGAACGTTGTCTTGGCAGAAGTTCCTTTGTTGCACTTGACACTTTGGATCTCTCTTGTGTGCCTTTGGTTGTCACTGATCCTCACGGATTCCTGTTTGAAGCACAGGCAGCATCATAAATGTCACGGATGGTGTCACCAAGAGGAGGAAACTGTCTGATGTAAGTGCCATCCTTTTGAAGAAGGGATCAGGATCAGTGTCGCTTCCTTGCCAGTATGAGAAGTAAGACATCATGGCTCTAAGATACTCTCTGTTGATTGCATTGTAGATGAGTCGGCTGCATAGGTCTCCATTTCCATAGGTAGAATCGAATACTTCTGTTGCTGTTCGCTCCAAATGACAAGCCTTGTTAGGTAGAGCATACTTGGACTCCACTGGATAGAGCAATGAAGCATGGTTTGGGATCGAGACCAGCACTTCTGCAGAGTTGGCATCGAATCTTCTGTTGCAGCTTCCACAAACCATGGCATGACTATACACCAAGAAGGAGTGCACTACGTAAAAGTAGTGTAAAGATCTTTCGAGTGTTTTGAGTTGAGAGAATGAAAGTTATGAGAGGATTAGAAAGCTATGAAACTAATCAACGAGAGAGATCACAATCAAGGATCGTAGATCTGAACTCCCGCGGGAGACTGTAAAGTGTGATAGAGTAGTTGTGGTATCGAATCTCTACTCGTCTCCAACGATCCAAAAACGGAACGCTGGAAGACGTTCTTAGCATTTATCTAGTAGCGTGGAATCTTCTCCACGCCAGCTAAATTATCTAGCGCGATGTTTCCACATCGACCTAGTAGACTAGCGGGTTCATGGAGAACCTGTCTCACCATGACTATCACAAGAGACTCAGTCGATGAGCCTCGAAGCTCGAAACCCTATCGTCAGTGATCGAGTCGCAAATAAGGCTAAGAGGCGTGTATTGCATCGCCCACTGACAAGGGTCACAGAAGGCCGACATCAGTCTACAAGGAGAACATATGATATAAAGTGCGGGGCACTCTCATTGGATTTGGATGTAGACATTAGCGTCGCACGATGGCAATCCTACAAGGGGATCAGGCCTTTGTCACTGTGGTGGTTATATACCTTCATGTTCCATAAGTCTGTAGCGGTGTTGACGTTGTGCCGGCCAGTTGGCGGGTAGCATGTTGCGAGCCGTACAGTGCCATTGTCATTGACTCGCTCTATAGTGTAAGGACCTTTGTACTTGGACTGACCGTACTTGCGGTGATGATACTGTTGAATCATCACAGTATCGCTCGTTGACATTGTATTGATGAGGGAACGCGTCCGCGTTTTGCCTATCGTTGTTCTGTTGGATGAGTCATTGGCGACGCTCTTTGATGTTTTTCCAGTTTGCTTCGAAACGGACGTTGTGAATCCTGTCTCGGGTCGGTGTCAATCTGACGGGTTGGAATCACCTCTCTCGGGCGTGAGCCGGTCGTCAATGGATCAAAGCCCTAACACCGCAACGTGGTATGAATCGTGGCGTTCATGGCGAAGCGAACCGCCGTGAGGACCCCATCCCAGGATCCGTTCACGAGGTCGTCTTGGCACTTGATGTTTTTGAACAGCGATCAAGTTGGGTATGGTCTGATGAGCACGCTCCTCGACCATGGAAGTTGGCTTGAGGGTTGCACGTGGTGATGAACTTGCGACGAAGTCCAGTTCATCCCGGAGAGTCTACTCGACATCTGCCGGAACTCACGTCTTCTGTCCATGATAACCTCACCCGGCCATGGATACCGAGTAAGCCACGTTTGTTCTAGGACGATGGCCACTTCGTCTGCTGCCTTGGAGCAAATCTCTGCAATCTCAAACCATCCGGTTACGGGATCATCATTGTCAAGCAATGAAGTGTACAGGAATTCTTTTCTTAGGATCCCCGACGTTGTAGGGACCTTTCAGGTCAATACATAGTCTTTCCAAGGGATCTCCTCGCAAGTATTTGGAGGCATCAATCCCAGCTTACGCGTCTTGGGTTTGTTATTCTTGGCAGCTTTTGCAACGCTGACATACGGCATGCACAGTCTTGCGCAGTCCTTTCCATGTGTAGTGTTGGCTTATGGTTAGTTCTGTGCGAGTCTCGCCAGGATGCATCAGCAACCCATGGTACCATTCAACCAGCTTCTTCTGCATAGTCTCAGGTACGACGATCTTATCGTCCTTAACTACTAAGTCGTAAGACTTTATCCCCTCTGGGAAAGATTGGCTTCTGTAGTCGTTTGGCTTGTCCCTGAGGAGTTTCTTTGTATCGTTTTACCCACCTTTTGTCAAGGCTTTCTTCACGTTCTCATTCCAGTACATCCCCACTACTCCATGTACCACCACAGAATGGGCCTCTGAGCCTGCTGCTTTGAAGATTTCCTCTGATTCCAGGTCTGTTTCGTTTCGGACTGCATCCGTGATGTGGAGAACAATCGCCCAGGCAAAGATGAAACTTGTGCCCAGTATGAGTGTCCAAGCGTTTGCCGTTTCCCATTGTATCTGATGTTCACAACCTGAAAGAAAAACAATAGTTAGAAAATACAAATACATCTCAATAACAAATGTTGATAGTTTTCCTGCACTTACCGGAAAGTGTTTTGCATGTTTGTAACATCCAGTCAAGTCTCGGTTCTGCTTTGCTTTGCGTTCAGCTTGATTGTAGAAAAGGTCCGTGTCCTCATTCAGCGTATCGATATCCTTTTTCACGTCTTCGAAGTCCACGTTTGCTCTGGGGACGGGTCGGTGCTCCTGGTCAGGTAGAGGAATTGTGTATCGGGTTCCTCCTGGCATGGTTCGGTGTGTTAGTCTTTTTATCAAATTCCCTTTTTCAGCATGGTCCGCCACGTAGGCAGCCAGACCAGATTCCCCATTGTAGGATGCTCGACCATTAGCCTGTTTTTCAGCAAGGTCCAAGGCATGAATTCCAATACCCTCATTGTAGGTAGTAAGACCGCCCCTGCAAACATTTTTTTCCACCGTTTCGGTGTGTGTGTGTCGATTGTGCCAAGGCGTGAAGTGGAATCCCGTACCCTCAGTTTGCTTAGGCAGTGTTTGCCTGCTTACCAAGGACTCGCCTGACTAAGCAGATTATTTGAGCCTATCTCCAGGCACGTCGTCGTTAACTGCTTGATTGTGTCCTCTCTCTCGCGCGCTTGTGGGAGTAGACTGCTTAAAGAGTCAATCTGGGAGCTCCTATGGGAAGAAGTCAATACAGTTGCGGTGTAGAAGTCAGGAAGGTTGTGAAGAATCTCTTTCTCGCTCTCCTCGCTGCTCTCTCTCTCTCGGATTTTCCATGTTCCAACTTTCTAGATTTCCATTATTCTTCTCACCACGAGGAGCTCAAGCTTTTTAGCATTTACTCCCAACACAATCAAGACAAAATCAAGCAGTACGAGCGTGCCTGGGGAAAGGCTAATGGTCGCGTCGGCGGTCTTGTCAGCGGTCTAACTGCCTACAATGAGGGTACGGGAATTCATGCCTTGGACCATGCGGAAACACAGGCTAATCGAACCAGGGGCGGTCTTACTACCTACAATGAGGGTATTGGAATTCATGCCTTGGACCTTGCTGAAAAACAGGCTAATGGTCGAGCATCCTACAATGGGGAATCTGGTCTGGCTGCCTACGTGGCGGACCATGCTGAAAAAGGGACTTTGATAAAAAGACTAACACACCGAACCATGCCAGGAGGAACCCGATACCCAATTCCTCTACCTGACCAGGAGCACCGACCCGTCCCCAGAGCAAACGTGGACTTCGAAGACGTGAAAAAGGATATCGATACGCTGAATGAGGACACGGACCTTTTCTACAATCAAGCTGCACGCAAAGCAAAGCAGAACCGAGACTTGACTGGATGTTACAAACATGCAAAACACTTTCCGGTAAGTGCAGGAAAACTATCAACATTTGTTATTGAGATGTATTTGTATTTTCTAACTATTGTTTTTCTTTCAGGTTGTGAACATCAGATACAATGGGAAACGGCAAACGCTTGGACACTTCAATACGTGGGCACAAGTTTCCTTTGCCTGGGCGATTGTTCTCCACATCACGGATGCAGTCCGAAACGAAACAGACCTGGAATCAGAGGAAATCTTCAAAGCAGCAGGCTCAGAGGCCCATTCTGTGGTGGTACATGGAGTAGTGGGGATGTACTGGAATGAGAACGTGAAGAAAGCCTTGACAAAAGGTGGTAAAAAAGACTAAAAGAAACTCCTCAGGGACAAGCCAAACGACTACAAGAAGCAATCTTTCCCCAGAGGGGATAAGTCTTACGACTTAGTAGTTAAGGACGATAAGATCGTCGTACCTAAGAATATGCAGAAGAAGCTAGTCGAATGGTACCATGGTGTGCTGATGCATCCTGCGAGACTCGCACAGAACTAACCATCAGCCAAACACTACACCTGGAAAGCGACTGCGCAAGACTGTGCAATCCGTATGTCAGCGTTGCCAAAGCTGCCAGATGAACAAAACCAAGAAGCGTAAGCTGGGATTGATGCCTCCAAAGACTTGGGAGGAGATCCCTTGGAAAAACTATGTATTGACCTGAAAGGTCCCTACAACGTCGGGGATCCTAAGAAAAAGAAATCCTGACACTTCATATCTTGACAATGATTGATCACGTAACCGGATGGTTCGGAATTGCAGAGATCTTGTTGCCCCAAGGCAGCAGACGAGTGGCCATCTCCTAGAACAAAACGGGCTTACTTCGGTTAATCCATGCCCGGCTGAGTATCATGGAAAGTGAACGTGAGTCCCGCGTAAGAGGTCGAGAAGACTCTCCGCGATGAATATGGACTTCGTCGCAAGTTCATCCCCACGTGCAACCCTCAAGCCAACTCCATGGTCGAGCGTGCTCAGCAGACCATACGCAACTTGATCGCTGTTCAAAACATCAAGTTCCAAGACTACCTCGTGAATGGATCCTTGAATGGAGTCCTCACGGCGGTCCACTTCGCAATGAACGCCACGATTCATACCACCTTGCGTGCAACGCCTGCACAGCTCGTGTTCAACCGGGACGCGATTCACAACGTCGGTTTCGAAGCAAACTGGAAGTACATCAAGGACCGTCACCAATAGAATCATCCACAGAACAACGATAGGAGAACGCGACGCGTCGCCTCCTCATCAACACAATTGTAACGATACCGTGATGATTCACAAGTGATCAGCAGCACAAGTACGGTCAGCAAAGTACAAAGGTCCTTTACACTATAAGCCGAGTCAATGACAATGGCACTGTCGGCTCCAACATGCTACGCCAACGGCGGCACAGTCTACAGACTTGGAACATAAGGTATATACAACCCATACAGGCCTGATCCCCTTGTTAGGATTGCCATCGTGCGACGCACATGTCTACATCCAATCTCATGAGAGTGCCCGCACTTTAAATCATATGTTCTTCTTGTCGGACTGATGTCGTGCCTTCTGCTGACCCTTGTCAGGGGGCGAATGCAATACACGGCTCTTAGCCTTATTCGCGACTCGATCCTAGATAGGGTTTGAGTTCGACTCATGACTGAGTCTCTTGTGAATAGTCATTGAGACAGGGTGCTCATGACAGCTAGTCATAATAGGTCGATGGTGAAACATCGCGCTAGATATTTTTAGCTGGCGTGGAGAGATTCCAGCGCTACTAGATAATTGCTAGACGAATCTTCCATGCGTTCCGTTTTTGGATCGTTGAACGAGTAGGATTACTACCACAACCTACTCTATCACACTTTACAGTCTCCCGCGGGAGTTTCAGATCTACGATCCCTTGATTGTGATCTCTCTCGTTGATTAGTTTTCATTAGCTTTCTATCCTCTCATAACTTTTTC